ATATATATATAAATTCCTTAGACTGCGCAAAAATTATCCCAACCACACCGCCAGCACCACATTTTTGCTAAGTGAGAAAAAAAGCGCTTTTTTTCTAGTGTTCTCTGGTCCTCTGTGTGCGCTGATCACACTACAATACTCTTTTTCAGACGCGCTTTCATCTTTTGATATTGAAATTTTTCTGAATCGATGGAGCACTGAGAAAGGCAGAGAGTTGACAGAGACGCAGAGGAAGATGTGTCGTTCGCGTTGAAAACAGTGGTGGAAATGTACAGCAGTAAGGCGTTCGCTGAATAGCATTCTCTTCAACACACATCGCTTGGTGTCGTGGCAGTCAAATTCACAAGGGTTTCAATCCCCTTTCCCCTCCCCCTTGTGTGGTCCTTTAGAATAACATAAAAATTCCTTTTTTTCATTCCTTTACTTTTTTTTTTTTTTCATTTTGTGTCACCCCCACCACTGAAGATTAGTCGATTAAAGAAATCCAACTGAAAAGCTGGAAGCCTACTGCAGCGGAGGTGAACTTGTGCGACTACAATTGTAACATTCTCGTCAAAAGGCAACAGCGATTACTGCTGCTATTACTGGCGAAAGAAAGACAGCTGCAGCTGAAGCAACAATAACCGATAATAACGAAGACAACAGTTATATTGAAAACAACAACAACAACGAAGACGACGGCAGTTTTGCGCAACTCTGGTGTCGTCTGTCTGGTGTGAAGAAGCACCTCGAGGAGCCCGAGATAACTGCGCTACTCGAAGGTCTCTGTTATGCCAGACCCAGACTTCAGCCGTTCCAGAAAGCGCAAGTTGTCGGAGGGCCAGCCTTCTGTCGCCCCTCATTTGCTGCTTTCCCAGGAGCAGCAACTTATGCCAAACTTGGGTGCCACTACGGTCCAAAATCAATCCGTAAGTTTATATACTTATCCTTATTTTATCCTTTTCTCTTTAGATTTTCAACTTTACAGAACTATTTAAAGTAGGATTTTAGAATTCTGCAGAATATAATAATATTGTCATTAGGCAAGTTCAGTTGAGCTCTGCGGCAAGTTCTTTTTACTGTTGCAGATGCGCTTAGTTATTAACGTGACTTATCACTTCACGCTTGTCTAGTTGTCTTTTTAAGGTACTTTTTGTCTATTTTTGCATACTTACAGCTTTATAATTCCTACGGTTCCTTAAAATACACGAACGGGGAGCGCCTTTGCGGGGGCTTTAAGCGCAAGCCTGAAGAGTCTTTCGACAGTTCTAAGGTAGCTTTTTGGTCATGCTACAAGTTCTTATGTCCTACACTTTAAATTTGGCTCTTATTATGAATGCCTTCACGCTGACTTGCTAACTGACACCAGTTTTTTTTTTTGCTTTCATTGTGGTTTCTGTGAAATTATCAGAGGAAAAGTAAAGAAGAAAGGTAGATAAAGCTGTAGTTTCAGTATTTTAAACAAAAGATATTTGAACCAGTTGACGAATTTTGAAGGGTTTTTAAGAAATTAAGGCGGTTTAAGCATGTAAGCAGTTGATATGGTATAAGTTAAATTTTATGGGTAGGGTTTTGAGCAGAGGAGGAGTAAAAAATGTCAGTTCGCTATTTTGTTCTTTTTAGAAAAATCACATTTAAAGTTTTATTTTTTATTATTTGGTCATGATCGGTAATTTTTTTTTAAAAGCATTTATATTCATATCAGCTTAATCTGCATAGGTTGGAATATCGGGCCAGTCAGTAAGTTCACTGCCTGCATCAAAAGTCTCGATCAAAACGAGTAGCAAGCAGTTGCCATCTAAGACGAGCGCCAGATCGAAGCCAAGTGCCGAGGGTGAATACCAGGTAACTTTTTTAGATTCTACATTCTTGAACATTTCCTTGTTAGCATTAGCATTTCTTTCTGGTTAGGTTCATTTTCCTTGGTAAATTTTTAATTTCTTTTTGTGTTACTTTTTTTTTTCTTTTTTTACATTGGAGGTGGTTGGAGATAGTTTTGTTCTGTTCGCTGTTGTCGTTTGTTTTTAAGTAACTGCACTAAATTATTCTATCATGAACCTTGTAATTTCGATGCATAGCTGGCAGGAATAGGCTAAATTTCATTTCGCTCTTCCAAGTACGTTCAAGAAGAACAGTTTTTTTGTGAGGGCTTGGGTATATCTTAGGGTGGAGTTTTTGTTTTTGACTGTTCTTTTTCAAGCTGGTCCTGATTTTTGATTTTTATTAGTAGTTTTGGTATACCGTTCTGTAGTAATTGCTGAGCCCGGTTTGCTTGGGACATTTGTGGAATTCTTTTGCAGTCCCTTTTTTGGAGATTTCTATTCCTTAGATATTTCCCATTTTTGTAGTCACTTTAAAGGACAAATTTTAATTTTCGATCGGGTTTTTGCACTCTAGTTTTTGTACTTTAATAATTTTCTCCTGATTCTATTTTTTGATTTTGTCTTCAGTTTTTAGACTATTTATAGTTTCTTGACATTGATTAACCTGTCCAAATTTTTTCATTGAAATTAGCTTTTTTTAAACATCACTTTATTCTTTACAATTTGACTGGTTATCCTCCTATAGTCAAACAAAAAATGCAGATTTTGGGAGTCGTTGCAGATTAGTAACTCTTGAGGAGATTTTTTAATAATGTTTTTCCAGTTGATCAAAAATGAGGTGCTCGTCTCTCCTTACCGGAATCAGTATGAAGTGCTCGATTTCCTCGGTAAGGGCACTTTTGGGCAGGTAGTTAAAGCGTGGAAAAAAGGTACTAATGAAATTGTTGCCATCAAAATTTTGAAGAAGCATCCGTCATATGCTCGACAAGGTCAAATAGAGGTAAGTATTTGATTAATTCAAGGTTGATGAAATTTAATATTTTACTGTTCTTTTTACATGTGTTTGTAACTGTATTGCTGGTGGTGTCATATATGCTCATACTTCTTCTACATTTTTTTTACCCTCAGTTGTCTTTTTTGGAAGAAGTGGTTTAAAAAAGTATAGTTATTTTATTCAGGTTTCTATATTGTCAAGATTGAGTAATGAAAATGCAGAAGAGTTTAATTTCGTACGTGCTTTCGAATGTTTCCAACATAAGCAGCACACTTGTCTCGTTTTTGAGATGCTGGAGCAGAATCTTTATGATTTTTTAAAGCAGAACAAATTTACTCCTTTGCCGCTGTCGAGCATTCGTCCAATTGTTGAACAGGTAATATATTTAAAGGTCTTCGACCTTCTTTATTTATTACTCTTCTCCTTTTTATTGGTTTTTTTCTTAATAGGGGAGATTTAAAGCTGTGCATGTGAATGGGTATTTTTACCATTTCTTCTACATTCCTCATACAAAATTTCAGTTTTACATGATTTCTGTGATGTTGTTTTAAAGGTGCTCACAGCATTATTGAAACTTAAACACCTCGGGTTGATTCATGCCGATTTAAAGCCGGAAAATATAATGCTCGTCGACCCTACAAATCAGCCTTTCCGAGTTAAAGTGATCGATTTTGGGTCTGCGTCGCACAGGAGCAAAGCAGTAACGAACACTTACCTCCAGTCTCGTTATTACAGGTTCCTGGATACGTTTTTTTTTTTTTTTTTTTTTTTTTTTTGTTTTTTTTG